GAGGTCTACCACACAATGTTTCATGCCAAATATCTTACCTGTAGCCTTTGCCAATTCAGAGAAGAAGATTTTTTTAGATTTACCTATAGATATATAAGGAAAAACCTATGACCCCCCGGGGCGGGGCCAATTTTGACACTAGGGACAAAATTTGAACAACTTTGGTAGAGGACCCATAGATGATACCATATACCAAAAATCAACGCTCTGGCCCATGTACTTTCAGACAAGAAAATTTTTTAATTTTGTGTTTTTTGAAATCCTTTTCTGGCCCTGTGACCTACATATGCAACAGACCGGAACCATTTGAACAACTTTGAAAGGGGACCACCCAAGGATCATTTCTGTAAAGTTTGGTTGATGTGCAGTCATTGGTTTCAGAGGAGATGTTGTTTATGTTAAAAGTTGACGACGGACGACGGACACAGGGCGATCACAATAGCTCACCCTGAGCAATGCTCAGGTGAGCTAAAAAGGTGGCAAGTTTTATAAAGATAATATTGAAGAATTGTGTTTGAAAAACCTTTTTACTAAGATTTTTTTATCATTTCATTGGTCGCTTGCTTTTTAGCTCACCTGAGCATATGCTCAGGGTGAGCTATTAGGATCACTCTTCGTCCGTCGTCCGTCGTACGTCGTCCGTCGTCCGTCGTACGTTGTCTGTTCACACTTTTCAAACGACATCTCCTCTGAAACCATAAGGCAGATCATAATGAAACTTCACAGGGATGTTCCTTGTGTGAAAAGCCTTAACAAAGTTGTTCAAAGAATTCCATTCCATGCAGAACTCTGGTTGCCATGGCAACCAAAAGAAAAAACTTTAAACATCTTCTTCTAAAAAACCCAAAGAGCTAGAGCTTAGATATTTGGCATGAAACATCTTCTAGTGAGTGTCTACCAAGATTGTTCAAATAAGATCCCTGGGGTCAAAATTGGCCTGCCCCAGGGGGTCATTGATTTTCCCTATATCCATATAGTAAAAACTTAAAAAAATCTTCTTTTAAAGAACCCAAAGAGCTAGAGCTAAGATATTAAGCATGAAACATCTTCTAATGCGTGTCTACCAAGATTGTTCAAATAAAAGCCCTGGGGTCAAAATTGGCCCCGCCCCAGGTGGTCATTGATTTTCCCTATATGTATATAGTAAAAACTTAAAAAATCTTCTTTTAAAGAACCCAAAGAGCTAGAAATAAGATATTAAGCATGAAACATCTTCTAATGGGTGTCTACCAAGTTTGTTCAAATAAAAGCCCTGGGATGATTGATTTTTCCTATATGCATATAGTAAAAACTTAAAAATCTTCTTTTGAAGAACCTTAAGAGCTAGAGCCCCTAAGATATTTAGCATAAATTATGTCCTAATGGATGTCTACCAAGTTTGTTCAAATAGGAGCCCTAGGGTCAAAATTGGCCAGGGGGTCATTGATATTCCCTATATGGATATAGTAAAAACTTAAAGATCTTCTTTTTAAGAACCCAAAGAGCTAGAGCTAAGATATTTAGCATGAAACATGTTCTTATTGATGTCTACCAAGTTTGTTCAAATAAGAGCCCTGGGGTCAAAATTGGCCCCGCCCCGGGGGACATTGATTTTCCTTATATGTGTATAGCAAAAACTTAAAAATCTTCTTCGAAAAAACCCGAATAGCTAGAGTTTAGATATTAAGCATGAAACATCTTCTAGTAAGTGTCTACAAAGATTGTTCAAATAAAAGCCCGTGGGTCAAAACTGGCCCTGCCCTAGGGGTGTCATTGTTTTTAAATATATGTGTAAAGAAAAAACTTAAAAAATCTTCTTTTAAAAAACCCAACCAGCTAGACCTTAGATGTTTAGCATGAAACATCTTCTAATGGGTGTCTACCAAGTTTGTTCAAATAAAAGCCCTGGGATTTAAACTGGCCCCGCTCTGGGGGGCCTGTATACAGGTGAGCGACTTCAGGGCCATCATGGCCCTCTTGTTGAAGAAAAACCTCCCATTTGATCATCGAAAAAAGTTCACATGTATGGTGCAGAAGTAATTTAGATTGAAATTATTTTACTTTTCTGTTAATTTAAAGCTATATCATTTAAGTTACCAAATAAACTGACATTTTGGCAGATCGAGTAAGTTGCTACTTCAATTTCAAAATTAAACGATCATAACATAATCATATACTTTTCTACATATAATCTCTCTTTGAATTTGTATGATATTATGATATTTTGTCAGTTTTAGATTTTCATTAAAGTCAACAAGAAATAACACCATTTTTGAAAAATATTTCATTCGTTATTAATACATGAATGCAGATAATTTTTTTACTTTTTACATAATACATTTAAACATTGAATAATACTATACCATAAAACCATTAAAAGCATCAAAATTTTATATATACAAAAATTATATAAGGTAAACTCATTGGTAACAAAAGTGGTATAACAGTTTTGCTAAAACATCGGTACTGTATTTTGTCTTAGGTTCTTACTGACCGGGTCACATGAATCAGTGGGCGGAGCGATCCCTTCTCAGGCATAATATAGGGTTAACGCACGTTTTTCCGTGTTATAACGTCTGCAGAGTCCCGAGGAACGGTTGGTGCCCGAGCCCGGTAGGGCGAGGGCTCCAACAGTTCCGAGGGACTCTGCAGACTTTATAACACGAAATAAACGTGCGTTGACGCTATTATAGCATAAAATTTTCAAACAGATTCGTGATGTATAGTTTATACAAAACACAATTACATTAAAGTCTTGTGCTTGGACGGTATTTATCCAATTCTATGTTTTACGTATGCGTTTCATTTTTCCGGGGCCAACAACTTGGAAAATTCTCGGAACCGGACGTAATTTTGAATTTTAATTGATTTAACAAAGCTTGGCCTTTGGAGATTTATTATCTCAAGAAAAAAAAACGTAATATTACTCTACCCTCTACCCAAGACAAAACATGACCCTCAGAAATTCTTAGAATGATTTCAGATTGACGGTAGATAAAAGATCAGTGACATCAGAATCGGTTTTTTTTTTTCAAGCAAACAAGTTTATAAAAAAATCAGGCACTAAGCATTATTCTCTCAAAGAAATATAAAGAGCATTTATCAACATTAACATAAATAAAAAACATTTTCTCATATTAATTTTGTGTTATCTAGTTTTGTAAGTTAATCGGAGTGTTATGAATGACAGGAAGATTCTACTGTATCTTTCCTTGTTTACATTGACAACTGTCCGTTTCTTAGCAAGGGCGACAACCAAGATAAGCACCGATGTCTATACGCCGTTTTTCCGGCATAGTTACTTGAATATGCGACTGAGGCCCTCGAATCAATAAATTTCAATATAACAAGAGCGCATGACTCTTCGGCAAACAGGCCAAATCGTCATTTTTTGTTTGTTTGTTTACTGGGCCCTGTATGTATTGCGCATAGGTGAAACCGGGCTATAACAAGAGCGCGTGACTATGTTAACACATGGTTTTGGTCCCGTTATAACATGGGCAAAAGAGGGAAAAATAGCCGATTTTATGCTATAATGTCAATTATTAATCAGAGTTTGATAATAGAAATAATTTCAAACTCTACATTTGTAAGTGTGCCGTTTGGACCAATTAAATTATGTAAACGCTTACTAACAAAGTTGAACACTATACAAACTACAATGTTATGTTGAATCAGCCAAAAGATACCATAAAGCGCACTAAAAAGTCAAGAAAATAACACCAGTTTCAACCTCAGATTTCAAAATGTTCTCAGTCACACCCACCTAATCACATATATTTTTTCTTCATTCCATTCTTATCAATGTTCATACAACTAAAGACAAAAAAGTAGTATAAGTAATATATTAGAAGTACATTGCCACTAAAAAGATGACTTTTAAAAAGACTTCTGTATCCCCGCCTGTTGATAGTGGTTGCCTTTTACAGACAAGTGTTATCACTGCATGTGGTGATCTTGTTTTCATAGGATTTTCTACAGTTACAGTTACAAATCTGTTCCTGTCATAACACAAAAGTGCAAAAGTAAAGCTGCGGGCTCACTCCCAGCAGAGCCCAGGACCACCCCAGTAAGTTACTGGGATGATCCGAAATGTTCCAGGGTGAAATTATTGTTGTTGTCACACTTACCCTTGAACACTGCGGTAATTCCCTACTTACCACCCAGGATGCACTCCGGACCATCCAGGCAGAGCCCAGGTGGAGCTACGGTTCATGCCAGTGCTTCCCCTGTCATTCCTGGATGATCCAGGCAGAGCACTGGCAGAGCTCAGGTCGATCCTGTTAGAACCCTGGTGGATTGAAAACACGCAAAAATGATTACGTTGATACATAATTTTCATTTAATATAATATCTATTGTTCCAGAGCAGTAATTCATGATGATTTTCTGAATAATCCTTATGCAAGAGTGGACAGAAGGGAAATGAGGAAGGGTTTTAATACAAACAAGTGCAATCATCGCAAATAATCGTGATTCTTTTGAAATGAACCGGGCTTTGCCAGGGCTCTACCGGGATCAACCATAGCTCCATCGTCATCCTCCAGGGCTCTGCCATCATTCTTTGGGGCTCTGCTGGCATTCACTGGGGCTCTTCTGTAGCTCTACCGGCTATATCATACCCCGGATCATCCCGGGTTTGTGCCTGCAGAGCTACGGTGCTTCTCCGGTGTAACCCTGGTCGTTCCCAGCAGAGCTAAGGGGATGTAAGTGAGACTGTAGCTTAAGGTTGATGGTTCATGATTAGTTGATAGAGGAGCAAATAGTGATTATGTAGCTCATTTTAATTTTTCATCAGAGGAAAAGATTTAGTGTGCATGGTTGTGGAAATAGCAAAAATTACTGAGATGCTTCCTTTGTTTCAAATATGTCAGTTTAAAGGTCCAGCATGATTCCTACTCAATAATGTGTCCATGTAGGGAATCAGACAATATAAAACTGTCTGTGACTAGCTCTTGTTTGAATTTAGCTCACTTGTATATTTTATGACACTTGATTAGTATTCTTTTGTTATTAATTCAGGTCAACCTAGTGCAAATATTGTAGTTAAATCAGAACCAACAGACGATAACCTAGATCTGGACAATTACCAAGAACTAGACAACATTAATATGGCATCAAAAGTTTCAAATGAAATATCAACTAATCATCATCAGATGATAATCAAGGTCCCACAATACAAGAGGTCTATCACTTCCGTTTCTTATGACTCAAGTCGAAGCTCAGCCGAAATTAAGCGTCCAAAACTGGAGGCTGAAACCATACAAGCAGAAGAGTACAAACTTTCATTGAACAAGTTGTACCGAGTAAACCCGACTGGTTCTCCTAAATTTATGTGTGCAATGTGTTCGTATGCATGTGACACTCATCCTAAAATGAAGCATCATCTGTACAGACATCGGCCACAGAAATACAAATGTCCATATTGTGACCACAGGAAATACCCCAGGTATTTATATTATATTTGCTTAATCCCCTTCAGCATAGCGGGAAGAGGATTATAGGAATGGCCTCCGTCTGTCATTCCGTTCGCCCCTCTTTTTGTCTGTCAGTTCTCATGACCAAATAGGGATAAGGGGCCATCTAACTGTAAACAGAACAAAAGAGAACAATAGAGTTCATTCCTTAACAATAGAGAAAGGGGCCATTCGCACACTATTAAACAAAAGAAAATAACAAAAGAAATGGCCCCTTATTTCATTTCATATGGACGTCCGTCATTTGTAACACTTTTGTGTCCGCTCCATAACTTTTAAACCGCTGAAAATTATTTGAAATAACTTGGCACAAATTATCACCATTATGAGACGATGTGCAGAACGCAATAATTGGGTTGCTACCCCAAAGGTCAAGGTCATACTTAAAGATCAAGTGTTAAAGTGAACATTTTGTGTCTGCTCCATAACTTTTAAGCTGCTGAAATTTATTTGAAATAACTTGGCACAAATTATCACCATTATGAGAATATGTGCAGAGCGCAATAATTGGGTTGCTACCTTTAATGTCAACATCACGGGTTAAAAAGTCTACATTTCGTGTCTGCTCCATAAATTTTAAACCGCTGAATGTTTTTGAAATAACTTGGCACAAGTGATCACCATTATGAGATGATGTGCAAAGCGCAATAATCGTGTTTCTACCCCTAGGGTGAAGGTCACACTTGAAGGTCAAGTGTTAAAAGTGTACATTTCATGTCCGCTCCATGACTTTTAAACCGCAGAAATTTTTTAAAATAACTTTGCACAAAATTAATGATCACCATTATAAGACGATGTGCAGAGCCCAATAATTGGGTTTCTACCCCAAGGTCAAGGTCTCACTTTAAGTTCACGTGTTAAGAAGTCTACATTTCATGTCCACTCCATAACTTTTAACCGTTGAATGTTTAAAAAAATAACTTGGCACAAATGATCACCATTATAAGACGATGTGCAGAGCCTAATAATTGGGTTGCTACCTCCAAGGTCAAGTGCTTAAAAGTCTACATTTTGTGTCCGCTCTAAAACATTTGAAACGCTGCAATGTTTTTAAGATGAATTGGCAGAAATCATCACATTTATGACATGATGTGCAGAACCCAACATCCAGGTTGCTACCCACAAGGTCAAGATTAAAGGTTTTCCATAACTTTTTGACTTTATGGAAGATTTTAAATAACTTGGCACAAATAATTACTATCAAGGTCATGGTTTGTTAAAGATACATGTCCGCTGCTGTCCCTCAGACTGCCTTGTTAAACTTAATATTTCTTCAAACACTAAACTACTGGTACTTGTTACCTAAAGTGAGTTTTGGTTACACATTTTAGGGTTGATGCTTCAGGCTTGAGTAAAGATATGTGATAAAATGACACAGGCTCACTGTGTGGCCCGCTGACCATGGTATAATTATTCATTATGAAATAAACTATAAATTGTTGAAAGTGAAATGAAACATAACTTTAAATTGATGTATTATTTCAACAGATGCCAGTGAAAACAACAATAGTGTAGAACAGTAGCACCTTAATTCGACATTCCCATTAATTTGACACCTATTTAGCTCACCTGTCACAAAGTGACATGGTGAGCCTTTGTGATCACTTTTCGTCCGTCGTCCGTAAACTTTTACTTTAAACAACATCTCCTCATAAACCACTGAGCCAATTTCATCCAAACTTCACAGGAATGGTCCTTTGGTGGTCACCTTTAAAAATTGTTCAAAGAATTTAATTCCATGCAGAACTCTGGTTGCCATGGCAACCGAAAGAAAAAACTTAAAATATCTTCTTTTAAAAAACCCAAAGAGGTAGAGCTTAGATATTTGGCATGAAACATCTTCTAGTGAGTGTCTATCAAGTTTGTTCAAATAAAAGCCCTGGGGTCAAAATTGGCCCCGCCCCAGGGGGTCATTGCTTTTCCTTATATGTATATAGTAAAAACTTAAAAAATCTTCTTTTAAAAAACCGAAAGAGCTAGAGCTTAAATATTTGGCATGAAACATTGTCTGATGAGTGTCTACGAAGTTTGTTCAAATAAGAGCCCTGGGGTCAAAATTGGCCCGCCCCTGGGGGTCATTGATTTTCCTAAAATGTATATAGTAAAAACTTAAAAAAATATTCTTTTAAAAAACCGAAAGAGCTAGAGGTAAAATATTTGGCATGAAACATCTTCTAGTGAGTGACTATCAAGTTTGTTCAAATAAAAGCCCTGGGGTCAAAATAAGCCCCACCCCAGGGGTCATTGATTTTCCTTATATGTATATAGTAAAAACTTAAAAAATCTTCTTTTAAAAAACCAAAAGAACTAGAGCTTAAATATTTGGCATGAAACATTGTCTGATGAGTGTCTATCAAGTTTGTTCAAATAAAAGCCCTGGGGTCAAAATTGGCCACGCCCCGGGGTCATTAATTTTCCTTATATGTATATAGTAAAAACTTAAAAAATCCTCTTTTAAAAAACCCAAAGAGTTAAAGCTTAGATATAAAGCATGAAACATCTTCTGGTGAGTGTCTACTTAGTTTGTTTAGCCCTGGGATCAAAATTGACCCTGCCCAGGGGGTACTGATTTTCCTTATATGTCTATAGTAAAAACTAAAAATCTTCTTTTAAATAACATATTGAGTTAGAGCTTAGATATTTAGCATGAAACATATTCTAGTGAGTGTCTACCAAATTTGTTCAGATAAATGCCCGAGGCTTAAATTGGCCCCGCCCAGGGGTTCTGATTTTCCTTATATATCCATAGTAAAGACTTAAAAAATATTCTTTTAAACACCCCAAAGAGCTAGAGCTTAGATATTTATCATGAAACATCTTCTAATGGGTGTCTACCAAGTTGGTTAAAAAAAGCCCCTGGGTTAAAATTAGCCCCGTCCCAAGGGCCTATATACAGGTGAGCGATTTCAGGGCCATCATGGCCATCTTGTTTTACAAACATCATAAAATCTCAAAATTAAGCATTTTAACTGATATTTTGATCAATATTTATGTCCATCATTCATTTGATGATGTCATGAAAAAAATTCAGACCACATAGATTTCGCTGACATTGGTCAGTACGAAAAAGTGGCTCGAAAATTTGAACATAAAAAAGTCGCTTCTTAGGGAAATGTGTAAGAGGTTGACCTCTGTAACAGTAAAAATACTACTTAATTTTTGTCAAGTTATGCTATTGTTAACTTTTTAAACACACTTATTGAAGTTGTTCTTCAAACTGGACCTTCAACAGCTTGTCTAGAGTTAAATTTCCCGCCAAGGCATGAGTGTCGAACTTAGGAACCAAATTTAAAAGGAGGTTCGTTATTTCGACAAATGTGATAGAATCAAACCAATTTAGAACTACATGTAACTTAAGTCAAACTGACCAAATATGACATTCCATGTATTTGGCAGCGGACAAATAAGTATTAATTAGAGTTTATAAATGTTACTCTGTTAACGATGTTCGTTATTGAGATATCAGATGTTGCTAATAAATTCTCATTTGAAAAAAAAAAAATTCATTAATAACATGCAATGGTAATGTTTCGTGATGTTGTTTATTTTGAAAAGCAGGTATACAATGTATTTGATTAAAATGAACTTCAGCAATAGGTATATCAGTGTTAAATTGTGTATACATGTCAACATTGTCAAGTGAAGCTAATGAAAAGAAATATTGCAGAATGATGTAAGCCATCCAAGTTGATCAATGCTATTTCTATGTTCAAAGTGGTGTAATATCGAAGAAGATAAAAACGGCAATGTTATTTGGCATACCGACGGCAAGGGGAGCCCTGACTGATAAGCTTAATGGAAATGCACAAACAGTCCAAAACAGTGCATGCTGACTGCAACACTACATGTTACCTGCTTATCTGTTATGAAGTAAAAATTAACAAGTCTTAGATCATTATGTATGGAAGAAAAACACTTTTAGAAGACAATTTATCTGAAAAAAACATTTGCCGCTATCAGTTATTTTAACCCTTTCCCTCATGAGCATATTGTGAAAAATGGCCGTTTTCACTGAAAAGCCTCCTGTTACAAGTTCAAACTGCAAAATGATTCGATACTAATTATACCCCCAAAAACGAAGTTTGGGGGGGTATATAGGAGTCACCCGGTGGTCGGTCGGTCGGTCGGTTGGTCGGTCGGGCGGTCGGTCGGTCGGTCGGTCGGTCGGTCCAGACGTCCGTTGCATTTTCCTTGTCCGGAGCATAACTTGAAAACTAATGGTTGGAATTCAATATAACTACATACAATGGTCAAGCACATTGAGAGGAAGTGCAGTGCACAAGAACCATAACTCTCTTGACTAATTACAGAGTTATTGCCCTTTGTTACTTTTCCTTGTCCGGGGCATAACTTGAAAACTACTGGTTGGAATTCAAAACAACTTCATACAATTGTCAAACACAATTAGGGGAAGTGCAGTGCACAAGAACCATAACTCTATCTAAAGTAATTACAGAGTTATTGCCCTTTGTTGCTTTTCCATTGCTTTTTTTTTTGTCCGTTGCATTTTCCTTGTCCGGAGCATAACTTGAAGACTAATGGTTGGAATTCAATATAACTACATACAATGGTCAAGCACATTGAGAGGAAGTGCAGTGCGTAAAAAACATAACTCTATCTTGACTAATTACAGAGTTATTGCCCTTTGTTACTTTTCCTTGTCCGTGGCATAACTTGAAAACTACTGGTTGGAATTCGAAACAACTTCATACAATTGTCAAACACAATAAGGGGAAGTGCAGTGCACAAGAACCATAACTCTATCTAAAGTAATTACAGAGTTATTGCCCTTTGTTGCTTTTCCATTGCCTTCTTTTTTTTGTCCGGACCATAACTTGAAGACTAATGGTTGGAATTCAATATAACTACATGCAATGGTCAAGCACATTGAGAGGAAGTGCAGTGCATAAGAACCATAACTCTATCTAAAGTTATTACAGAGTTATTGCCCTTTATTACTTTTCCATTGCTTTCTTTTGTCCGGACCATAACTTGAAGACTAATTGTTGCAATTCATTATAACTCCATACAATGGTCCAGCACATTGAGAGGAAGTGCAGTGCACAAGAACCATAACTCCATTTTGACTTATTACAGAGTTACTGTCCTTTTGTTTCTTTTCCTTGTCCAGAGCATGACTTTAAAACTACTGGTTGGAATTCAAAACAACTTCATACAATGGCCAAGCACAATAAGGGGAAGTGCAGTGCAGAACCATAACTCCATCTTGACTAATTACAGAGTTATTGCCCTTTGTTACTTTTCCTTGACCAGAGCATAACTTGAAAACTACTGTTTGGAATTCAGTACAACTTCATACAGTTGTCAAGGACATTAAAAGGAAGTGCAGTGCACAAGAGCCATAACTCCATTTTGACAAAATACAGAGTTACTGCCCTTTGATACTTTTCCTTGTCCGGAGCATAACTTAAAACGTACTGGTTGGAATTCAAAACAACTTCATACAGTGGTCAAGCACAATAAGAGGAAGTGCAGTGCACAAGAACTATAACTCTATCTTCAGTATTTATAGAGTTATTGCCCTTTGTTCTTTTTCTTTGTCTTTCTGGACTTTTTACGGAGTAATTCAATTAAACTTCATCAATGGCCAACCACATTGAAAGGAAATGCAACATACATGAACCACAATTATCTTTAATTGCCCACAACCATAACTCTATGTTTCAATTCTATTACAAGGTATTCTGTTACATCCTCATTTCCGAAGCAGACTTGTGGGGGTATTAATCACATTTAGTGATAGTTCTAGTTAAACTTGGCACAAATGTTGACTGGACCATTGCCTTCGTAACGACATGCTCAGTCTTAAATTTCCTGTTACCATGGCAACAAGGGGACATCTCAAAATTGCCAAAAATCACTATTTTGCCTCGATTTTTTCCCTCAAAATTTATTTCAAAGTGCTGCAACTTCTCAAGGGATTGAGATAGAGTCAAAGGCTTTTCAGTGTTGGTTACACTTTACCGTATGTTTGACCTGGGGTCATTTTAAGCCTCTCACAAGTCCAAAATTTTCTTGGCGATGAGGGGGACTCCTTCAAACCCCCCAAACAGAAGAGGGCACATGCCCCTTCTGGCAACCCCCTGATGTATCTTTTGGATGGGGGGGGGGGGGGCGGCACCGAAAAAGTGCTCACTTTTTTAAGCAACACTTCTCAAACGTGTGTTTGGGGCCCAAAAAGGACATTTTTTCACTATTTCAGGCCTTAAAAGGGGGGGGGTTCAAAAGTGCGTTGTTTCGCGTATATATGAGGTTAATTGTTAATACCGGTAGGCTACACGTAGGGGTGTGGATTGTTGGATAAGTGACGATCCGATTTGATCCACGATTCAGCACTTAGGATTCACAAATTAAACCAGGAATCTTTTGTTATCAAGACACCCATAAAATTATAAACATAAGTTTTGAAAACATATTTTCTTTCTTTAAACAATACATAACATTAAACAGATATGTAAATATGAACTAGGTTTATGTTTTTATTCCTTGCATGAGTATCTTACAACAAGTTTGTTGTACCACCATCGGCAAATGTATGTAGGTAAACGTCGCATAATTCATAATCAAATTTTTTTTTTTTGACTTTTAGAGTGTGAGAAACAGTGAATGTATATAAACAAATAAGATCGCAATCCGCGATCTCTGGACTGAAGAATATTCGTACTCGATTTTTCTTTTTGAATCATGATTATCCGAGTACTCGGATACTCGCCCCAGCCCTAGCTACACGCTACACCGGCTCCCTTAGTTAAGTGGCAGACTTGCTTTGACTTTGGGCCATTAGAGATACATAATTAATTATAATCAATGACAAGTATGAACTCCACCAATTAAATATTTAGAGTAGGCCTATGATTTAAACTAGCAAAAACTAATCTAAAAAAGAAATGTTTCCGCTATACAGCCTGTCCGTGGTACATAATGTGCACTGCTGGTGCAATTTAATTTGAAATCCCCGCTTCAAAGATTAATAATTAACATTTTTTTTCTATAATTAAATTATGTGTGTAAGACATACAAAAAATATATCTACACATGCACATTTTTACTGATTAGATGAACTGATCGTGCTTTTTAATGCAATATTCTTTCATAATTATGGTTGGGTATTAAAGTGTTATTAATAGTATTGGAATTCATTTTACTTTTATATTATTTGAACTTTTAATGTATTTCTTAAACCTTAATTAGGGTGTCGAATTTAGGATCACCATGTCGAAATACCGGACTCTCTACGGACAAAGCTTATACTATTATTACATGGAAAACCTTAGATGCTACCTTAGAAGTAGTGTTTGAAAAGCGTGCAAAAATGTTGGATACTGTAAATTGCGGTGTTTAAATTAGGAAATACATATAAATGTTAAATTGTAATGAAAATTTATATTAAGGTGTCGAAATATGGGTACTTTACTATCCTTCAAGTTTTAACATTTTTGAAAGTCGAAACCATTCAGAATTTCTATTCAGTTTTAGCCTGTTTATGTTGAGTTTATGTAAATCAATTGTTTCAAATGTTTATAACTCTGTAAATGATACTGAAATGTTTCTGAAGGTTTGGAAATTTTTTAATTGTAGGTCGTATGTAGTCAGGCATGTACGAGACACTCATCGTAATAAGCCAGTGAGAGTGATCGACCTTTCCAAGGGAAATGAACCAGAGGATATTCCAGAATACATGAACGATATAGTTACAGACGACACTTTAGATGACACAACTGGATCCCTTGATACAAATGGTAATTATGTCTTTTTGAACAGTTTCATCGTTTGCAGTGATAATAATATGACAATCCACCAGAATAGAGCCAGACCAACACGCACTTTAATGTCTGAGTAGACTCTACTGTATGCTTCTAGCTACTCAGTACTCAATCTGTATATCCAGTAATGTAGGAATTGTGCAAAAGAAACAAATACAGGCATTTGGCTGCTTTGACTTACTTTTACCAGCATTAGAAATATTTCAAGGAATATGTTGCAGTTCACTTTCAGATAATTTATGAAACTATCGTTTGAAGGCATTTTTGTGTTTTGATGAAATACAATAACATATTTAACATCTTATTGTTTCGATATTCGATATACCTTAACATTTGTGATAATAAAAGGAAGCAAATTAATTATGATCACTTCACTGCTTCACTGCATCATTTACGAAATCAGGACTTTGTAAAAATTCTCTCACTCACATTTTACCTGCTAATTCCAGTGTTATATGACAAAGGAAGTTTGGCAAATGTATCACTTATACTGAATTTAAAAAATAAATATGTAATTATACCCCCAACCATAAAGTTTTAGGGGGGTATACTGAAGTCAGTGGGTGGGTGGGTCGTGGAAGGGTCGGTTGATTGGTCAGTCACTCAAATGCAGGTTTCTTGTCCGGGATATAATTTACTCAGAATGTACAAGAGATATCAACTTCAAATTTTGTAGATATAGAGAAGAAATGCAGTGCATAAGAACTGTAACCCTCTCTTCCCTAATTTTGGAGTTATTGCCTTTTGTTCATTTTGTGATCACAATTCGTCCGACGTCGTCCGTAAACTTTTACTTTAAGCAACATCTTCTTATAAACAGCTAAGTCAATGTCATTCAAACTTCACAGGAATGTTCCTTTGGTGGTCACCTTAAAGAATACATCAGTTCAAAGAATTTAATTCCACGCAGAACTCTGTTTGCCATGGAACCGAAAGAAAAATCTTTAAAAATCTTCTTTTAAAAAACCTAAAGAGCTAGCAGATATTTGGCACGAAACATCTTCTAATGAGTGTCTATCAAGTTTGTTCAAATAAAAGCCCTGGGGTCAAAATTGGCCCCGCCCCAAGGGATTATTGATTTCCCTTATATGTATATAGTAAAAACAAAAACAAATCTTCTTTTTAAAAAACCAAAAAGCTAGAGCTTAGATATTTAGCATGGAACATCTTCTAGTGGGTGTCTACCAAGTTTTTTGAAATAAAGCCCTGGGGTCACAATTGGCCCCGCCCTGGGGGTCATTGATTTTAATGTATCTAGTGAGAACAAAAAAAATCTTCTTTTAAAAAAAGTCAAAGAGCTAGAGCTTAGATATTTAGCATGTAACATTTTCTAAGCAGGGTCTACCAATTTGTTGAAAATTAATAAAGTCCTGGGGTCACAATTGGCCTCACTCCGGGCATCGTTGATTTTAATGTATCTAGTGAGAACAAAAAAATCTTCTTTTAAAAAAAGTCAAAGAGCTAGAGCTTAGATATTAGCATGAAACATTTTCTAATCAGGGTCTACCAATTTGTTGAAATAAAGCCCTGGGGTCACAATTGGCCCCGCCCTGGGGGTCATTGATTTTAATGTATCTAGTGAGAACAAAAAAAATCTTCTTTTAAAAAAGTCAAAGAGCTAGAGCTTAGATATTTAGCATGAAACATTTTCTAATCAGGGTCTACCAATTTGTTTAAAATAAAGCCCTGGGGTCACAATTGGCCCCGCCCTGGGGGACATTGATTTTAATGTATCTTGTGAGAACAAAAAAATCTTCTTTTAAAAAAAAGTCAAAGAGCTAGAGCTTAGATATTAGCATGAAACATTTTCTAATCGGGGTCTACCAATTTGTTGAAATAAAGCCCTGGGGTCACAATTGGCCCCGCCTTGGGGGTCATTGATTTTAATGTATCTAGTGAGAACAAAAAGAATCTTCTTTTAAAAAAAGTCAAAGAGCTAGAGCTTAGTTATTTAGCATGAAACATTTTCTAATCAGGGTGTACCAATTTGTTGAAAATTAATCCCTGGGGTCACAATTGGCCCCGCCCTGGGGGACATTGATTTTAATGTATCTATTGAGAACAAAAAAAAATCTTCTTTTAAAGAAAGTCAAAGAGCTAGAGCTTAGATATTAGCATGACACATTTTCTAATCAGGGTGTCTTTCAAGTTTGTTCAAATAAAAGCCCTGGAGTCAAAATTGGCCCCGCCCCGGGCATCATTGATTTTCCTTATATGTATAGTGAAACTTCAAAATATCTTCTCTTTAAAAACTCACAGAGCTAGAGCTAAGATATTAAGCGAGAAATATCTTTTAATGGGTGTCTTTCAAGTTTGTTCAAATAAAAGCCCTTGGGTCAAAATTGGCCCAGTCTAATTGTTTTTCTTATATGTATAGAGTTAAAACATAAAAAATCTTCTCTGAAGGTACAAGGCTTACAGCTTAGAATATCATCTATAGGTCCCCTACGAAAGTTGTTGAAATTTTGCCACAAGTGTCAAAATAAGCCCCAACCAGGGGTCATAGGTTTTCTTAAAATGTATATACATGTATAGAGTCTTCTCCTTCGAATTGACAGAGGCTAGAGGTTAGATATTTGGCATGAAGCAATGTGTAGTAAAACTCTACCAAATTTATTCAAATTATAGCCCTGGGGTCAAAGTTGACCCCCACCTGGGGTCATAGCTTTTCCTTATATGCATGTGTATAGTAAAAACTTAAAAAATATTCTCGTCTTAGGTGACAAGGCTTACATATTTGGTATAATATATCATATCATTTATAGGTCCTCAATGAAATTTGTTCAAATTTTGCCCCTAGTGTCAAAATAGACCCCACCCCACGGTCATAGGTTTTCCTCATATGTACATATATAGTAAACATTTAAAAATCTTCTCCTCTGGATTGACAAAGGCTAGAGGTTAGATATTTGGCATGGAGCATTGTGTAGTGGAACTCTATCAAGGTTGTTCAAATTATAGCCTTGGGGTCAAAATTGGCCCCACCCTGAAGTCATAGCTTTTCCTTATATGTATAAAGTAAAAACTTTTATGTATACATTAAGAACTTGTTGTCTGAAGGTTCAAGGCTTAGAGCTTAGATAATTGGTATATAATGTCATCTATAGGTCCTCTACCAACTGTTGTTCAACGTTTGCCCTTTTTGAAAAAATTGGCCCTTACACAAATAACAGTATGTCTTCAGGTGAGAGCTTTGGGGCCAATGGCCTCCTTGTTTATTTACAGCTATCACATTTTGACCATGTGCATAATTTCAGGTGTAGAACTGAAATTTTATATCAAATGACCTTAATATTGACCTACTTTCTTGTTTTTCATGTACAGACCATGTATATAGTATAATTAAAAACATACATTTGCATGAAATATAGTCTAGTGACCAACATTGTAATAAACACCAACTTTCACTGCTTTCACTCAAATAACAGTCAGTCCTCAGGTAAATGCTTTGGTGCCAATGGCCCCCTTGTTACACTTTGAACTTTGTACGGGACATAACTTGAGAACTATAAAAGGTATCAATTTAAAGCTTTGTAGATAGATAGACCTCACTGAGCAGAAATTCAGTGCTTAAAGCTGTAACCCTCCCTTCCCTAAATTTGAAGTTATTGCCCTTAGTTCATTTTTATGCCCCCGCCATATAATGGCAAGGGCATATAGTGTTACCCTGTTCCGTCATTCCGTCCTTCTGTCATCATCAGTTTCCGTTCATTATCTTGATAACAGTTGCACATATTGAACTCAAATTTGACATATAGATATGTCATGAGAAAATACAGGTCAAGTTCAAAATTGGTCATGGTTCGATGATTTTTGGCAGAGTTATGCCCCTTTTACTTTGAAAATAATATGAAATTTTCAGTTTCCGCTCATTATCTCCCCAACAGTACAACACATTCAACTCAAACTTGACATATGGATATGTCATGAGAAAATACAGGTCAAGTTCAAATTTGGTCATGGTTAGATGATTTTTGGCAGAGTTATGCCCCTTTTACTTTGAAAATAATATGAAATTTTCAGTTTCCGATCATTAACTCCCCAATGGTACAACATATTCAACTCAAACCTGACATATGGATACGTCAAAGGAATGTGCAGGTCAAGTTCAAATTTGGTCATGGTTCGATGATTTTTGGCAGAGTTATGCCCCTTTCACTTTGAAAATAAGATGAAATTTTCAGTTTCCGTTCATTATCTCCCCAATGGTACAACACATTCAACTCAAACTTGACATATGGATATGTCATGAGATTATACAAGTCAAGATCAAATTTGGTCATGGTTTGATGATTTTTGGCAGAGTTATGCCCCTTTTACTTTGAAAGTAATATGAAATTTTCAGTTTCCGTTTATTATCTCCCCAACAGTATTACACATTCAACTCAAATTTGACATATGGATACGTCAAAGGAATGCATAGGTCAAGTTCAAATTTGGTCATGGTTCGATGATTTTTGGCAGAGTTATGCCCCTTTCACTTTAAAAATAATATGAAATTTTCTGTTTCCCTTTATTATCTCCCCAACAGTATTACACATTGAACTCAAATTTGACATATGGATATGTTTTTGGAATGCGCAGGCCAAGTTCGAATTTGGTCATGGTTCATTTTTGGCAGAGTAATGCCCCTTTCACTTTGAAAATGATATGAAATTTACAGTTTCTGTTCATTATAAACCCAACAGTGTTACATATTCAACTCAAAATTGACATATGGATATGTCAAAGGAATGCGCAGGTCAAGTTGGAATTTGGTCATGGTTCGATTATTTTTGGCAGAGTTATGTCCCTTTCATTTTGAGAATAATATAGATACATCTTAGGAATAAGCAGTTTAAGTTTGAATTTGGTCGTGGTTCAATGATTTTGGACAAACTTATCTATCCTGAATGTTGGAAAAATTTTGAACTTTCAGTTTCAGCACTCATTCTTTTGTGGAAATGTATATAGCCATTATTTTGGCTACAAATATG